CACACACACACACACACACACACACACACACACACACACACACACACCACACACACACACACACACACACACACACACAAACGTGGCCACCGGGGAGCATCTGAGGTGTCGCGGTCAGTGCACAGGTAATAAATATTCACATTCAGAGAAGTCAGAGCTAGTTCAGGGGTGTGTGTGTGTGTGTGTGTAGCTAGAATGCCCTCTTCTACCTCCGCGTACAGTCAAGCTGTAGGCGGACTGCTCTGATCTGACGAGTTCCAAAACCAGGTGAGAGGTGAAGGAAATTGTCTTTTAAAGCTCCCTCTCACACGTCTCCTTTGAGGGTGAGAAACCTTAACCTCTTGATCAATTGGAGCCCTCTCGTAATGTTTGGCGCTTCGTGATGATGTCATCACAATAAGGCGGGAGAGGGAGGTCCTTTCGGGGCAGGCGGCTAGTAGCCACGGGAAGACGCGACCCCGAGGAAGAGAGTGTAACCTCCTCTGTGAGGATGTGAGCTCTGTTTAAAAAGGCCACCGTGTGCACTTCAGGACCCCCCCTCTCGAGTTAACACCGCTCCCCATTGGCCAATATTTCAGCTGCTCCAATCACACCTCAGGAAGACAGAGAGCATGTTTCCCTCGATTTACAAAAAAACAAAAAGAAAGAAAAAAAGGCAAAATGGCACTCGACCCATTTCCTCTGTAGACCAGCAGTTTATCAATCTCTGCTTTGGAGAAAAACACGCAGCCTCCTCGTCATCCTGAGCACATTCACCCATCATCTCACACACGCCAAAAAAAAAAAAAAAAAATATAACCAAAGCAACAAGACAATACCTAAAAAAAAATACTTTTCTTTTAAAAAAATAAACAATATTTAGGATTATTCAGCTCTTTCTTTTTTTCATCTCATATAAAACACCAGCAAGCAAAAAAAAAAAAAAAAGTTAGGAATAGTGAGGTAACTTTACCCTGAGGTAGGTTTCTTTCTTTCCATTTCTTTCTCTAATCTGTTCTAATCTTGGCGAGAGCGCCCAGGTTTAGACCCCGCCCCTCATTATCATACGTGGGCAGGGTCTGGAGGCTCCGCCCACAGGCCTTTGGCAGATTGGGAGAGAGAACGAGGAAGCCCCACCCCTCACACACACACACACACTTCGGTCTGATTTTACTTTTTCTGAGCTCAAGGCAAAAAGCTTTGGATGACTTCGCTTTTTGGTTCCCGCGCTGAACCGAGGCCGATCATTCTTTTTATAATAATAATAATAATAATACTACAAGCATTAGAGGCCTTGTTTGTCCGAATGAACAAGGATACCTTTAATGCAGGGATGGTCTCAAGGACCCCAGCTCCTCTGAGGAGTACGCCATCCTGTCCAAGACCGGCCTCGAGTGTCCAGCGCCGGAAGAAGGCAATGAGCGGAAAGTCTCAAGACGCGCCTCGTCCTGAGAAACCTCACACCTGACTCGCTGCCTTCGATACATTCACCCGAGGGGCCGGGCTAACTCACATATCATATATATATAATATATATAAAATATGCCGTTTAAGGTGCGGGGCCGCTAGCCAGCTAGGGAAAAGGCTGTGTCTTATCCCGAAGCTGTTGTATAACGGTTTCACGTGTGCGTGAGCTGAGCCGCTGCAATAGAACTGCAGGACCAGCCGCGACCGCCGCTCCCCTTACTGTCTCCTGCTGCGCCTTCCGCCACACGGCGAATTGCGGAAAGGGGGCCCTCGGTGCCTCCCCAGCCCACAGCCCCGTTGTAGGCTATATTAAGCTACATATCATAGACGAGGGACTGGGAAAAGTACAGAAGACCCCTTTTTTCTTTTTTTAAAAAGGCAAGGCGGCCAGACGCAGCATTTCTTAACATTTACATGAAGATTATATATTTACAACCTCATATTTTCTTCTAAACTCTCCGCTATTCGGAGAGGTCTTTTTTTTTTAAAGAGCAGTGTTAACATCTGCGGCCCCTCTTCTAGACTTTCATTGGCTGGCGAGGTTAGAGGGCGAGTTGGGCTGGCGCCAGACGCCCCCCCCCCCCCCCCATTGTGCTGCTGCGGTCGGTTTCCCCGCTCCCTCTCCCGCCTCACTGCATTCTATCGATAATAGCTCTGAATAAAACATTTCTATACATATATCTCTATGTTTAAAAAAAACACCCTTAAAATATAGGACTGACTGCAGATGGCGGGAGAGGTCGGTAGGGGACAACGGAGGAGCGAACGGGCCCCTGCTAGTGTGTCTCCGCAGTGCATGTGGACCCAGGCGGACGAGTGTTAAACCCGTCCGATGCAGGATCTGTGAAAGCTGCAGCGGGTGAGGAGCTGGCTGCAGCCCTACTGAGGCACACTAGGAGGACGGCGCCCCCTCCCTCTCTCCATCCCTCCTTTCCTTCATCCCTCCATCCTCACTCAGTCTCTCTTCTGGCCTGGCATCTGGTTTCTGTTCTCGCGTTACATTTTATCTTAATAATCTTCATTTTTTTTTTTTTTATTCATTTCATTTTCTGATTTTAAACATCTTTCTCTCCGGCTATCGGGCGTACTCCCTCCCTCTTTATGTCTCTCCCTGTCTATCGCTGGGTCCATGTGTCACTCTCCTGTATCCCTCTGTCCGTCTGTCAATCCGTGCGTGCGTCTGTCCGTCTGTCTGTCTGTCTGTCTGTCTGTCTGTCTGTCTGTCTGTCTCTCCGTCAGGCGGTGGGGGGCCCCACGGCATGTGAGGAGGATGGCAGGGGGATCCTCACTTCCTGCGCGGCTGGTGGTCCTGAGTCACTCCCTGCGTGGGGCTGCCCATTTCTGTGAAGCCCTGGGGGTTAGGGCTGGGGCCCGAGCCCATCCCGCCTTTCTGTGGCTGTTTGACCTGGGTCAGGATGTCCCGGATCTTCCTCTGAGCCAACTGGAGGACAGAGGACAGATGAGAATGGTTTGTGGCAAATTGAAAGCTACACTTGGTAAGGATCTGTGGGAATAAATATACAAAGATGGCGACTAGCTGGTGAACATAGTGGAGCATTTAGCAGCTAAAGAGACAGATATTTCCATCAGGAGGTGGTTAAGATCAAACCAGAGCATCAGGGAGACGGATAACCGGACTTGTATTTGTCAGGTGGCAAGAAACAGGTCTCAAAACCAATTTGCTAATCAACTTTAAAGGTGATTGTTTAACTGTATTTTACATGAATTACTTTTACAGAGTTGTATTTAATATGTTATAGCAACTGGCTGCAGTGTTAACTGTGCAATGTTCTACTGATTAACCATTAAGTTAAATTAGCTGTCAATGATGTAATTTGCTAATATGTCAACGACAGCTTTGGCAAGAGTCATCTGACAATAACATGAATTCATAGGTTTGTTACTAGATTATACTTGTACCCTTTTTCAGGGATGGAAATGCAAAGATCCTAAGGATGTCACTGCATTTGACGTTTGCATTGGAATTCCGATGCGTTGCCTGTCTGATGCACAGGATATCAGTATGCTGTTCTGTTACAAACGAATGAATAAGTGACGAGTCAAAGCTTAATGACGGAGGCGATGGAGTAGTGGGAGTACCTGGCTGGCGTAGAAATGTCCATTGATCTTCACAATGACCTGGTCATTTTCATCAGGTGTCTGTTCCCTGGGGACCACCACCTCAGCCGCTGTCAGGTTCTGAAGCTCATTCACCTGAAGACACAAGTTGTTGTTTTTTACTTTAAGAGGAAGTAACAACCTGATGACAGATCCTTGTAGTGTTGAAGACACTTCAGTGGGGCAGGATTCTGGTTGTGGCAACCATATGCGAGAGGGGGCTGAAGCGAGAGGTTTAGGTGGCTTACCGTCTTGCCCCCCTTGCCGATGACCCTTCCTGCTGCAGCGGCGGCCATCTTGATGTGGGTCTCCAGTTTGACCTCCTCCTTCGGCCCGAAGAAGTTCTCCTCCTTCAGTTTGCCGTAGATTCTGCCCTGAGCCTGCAAGAGGGAGAGGAAGAGGTTAATGATCCTTTTTGATATCGCTGGATCATAACAGCAGTTTGCTACGCCCACATCGACACAAAATAAATGGGATGAATATTAATCAGCAGGGAATGTCTTACCTTAAACTGAGCCTCTGGGGGTCCTGTCACAACCACCATCCGCATTTTGGAGTCTGGAGCTTCAGCTGGGGCGATCTGGAGGAGAAACACATCACTTATAGACACTTTGTCACTCCCTACACTCCCTACACCATGACGCTCTAGGTACCCCTCTAGCATCCGTTCTGGACGTGTCAGGGGCGGCGTGTCAATTTCTGCTTGTTACATGCACGCGGTCTCTTTTCACAAAACACTTGCGACGTCGGTTGACATGTGCCTTCCATAATAACGGTGGTCTAAAGCCCAGTTTGTAGTCGCGCTTGCCGCCGTAACACGAGCCACTGCAGGTGGCGTGCAAGCTCCAAGCGTGAACGGGGGCGTTCACGCTCAACGCCCTGTTCGTTGCATTGTTCTCCGAAATGCCACAACGCAACAAAATGAACTGTGAGGAATCAAAAAGACAACCAGTGTAACCGGCAAAAACAGCATAAAAGGCTAGCGTCGGCTTTATGTGTTCATAAAATGGCATTCAAAAAAAATTACAAAACACATAGTAATGATTTAGGGAAACCATAATCGTCATACAAGCATTTCATGAACCTAGATTATAGTAGTTTGAGGATAAGCGGAAACTTAAGCGAGACCCCTCGTGGTACTGCGGCGTGTTTGGTGGGGCGTGTCGGGCCCCGTCACTGACCTTGATGGAGGCCCCGGCGAAGCGGCTCAGCTGCTTGATGTGCTGTCCCTTCTTCCCGATGATGGCTCCCACTGCCTGGGCTGGGATGTAAACGTGGACCGTCTCCTGCTCCGGAGCCTGAACACACACAAAGCAGAAATGCCATCACAAAAAATCTGTTACAGAAGCGATATGTTGTTATTGGGACTTCACGGGGAACTCCTGTGTTTTCAACCTGGATCCTATTGTCCCACGTTTTGGTGTCTAAGTGACTAGAGGGGGATGACTCCAGCATTGGACAAAATAATCAGTACTCAATCAAGATCTTTGAGAGATTTGTTTTTTAAACATTTTTTCCGCTCTCCAGTTTGATTGTCTGGTTATCTTTAGCTTATAACCTTTTTAGTTAATGTATATTTATGGATGGTGTATATCTGGATGCATGCATCGATGTATACATGCACATATAAATATTTGTGTTCATACATGTGTGTATCTGTAAGTGTTTATATGGATGAATACAAAGTATCGTTTTCCTCTTTTCTTTCTCGTTTGCTCACATCGGGTATAAAGCATTAAAAAAATAATAATAATAATTTGAAATGCATGTAAATACTGACCATACTGATTCATGACTTTATTGCGATGAAGGTTTTTTTTTCTGAACTGTGTAAATAAATGCATGAATGAATTTGCAGTTCTTACACCGAAGCAACCGTAGGGGGCGCTGCCGGACGCGTTTCCAGGCGGGGGTGGAGGCATATTGGAGGAGGAAGGGAAGAGGCCCAGAGCACCCAGGTTGAGCCCAGGGATCAGGTGGGTCTGTTGCTGAAGAGAAGGAGGCTGCAGGTTAGAATTCATCTCAAGCTTTACAAGTCTGTGTGTGCACTAAACATAGCATGGAGCCCCAAAGTGTTTAATATCAAACGAATAAATACGTAATAATGGAGCGAGCAGACTCACATTCATGGCGGCGATGTCGTTCTCGTAGGCCTCTCTGACCTTCTTCATGACCTCCCCCTCGGCGTTGGCGCAGGCTTCGATAGAGCCTTTGACTGTGATGGTCCTCTCTGGATTGTACAGTGTCAGGTCCTGAAGACTGCACACATTACAGAAGAGGGAGCGCATCAGTTTATTTCAAAGTGACCAGTTGCTGTAAAGCGTCTCTCAGTAACTTGATGAACGTGTATGTGTTGTATATATTTTTCCATCCAATAAATTACCTTATTATTCCTAAAAAATTAGGTGAAAGTGATCTTTTGTTAAGCCCCACCCTGCCCGCAGCCGCTACCACAGAGCCCACACTGTCACTAACTGCATTCCACGAAAGAATATCTAATTTTTGTAAAAACGAAAAAGTGATTTCAGACAGAAAGGTCTACAATATGAGTTTGAATGAGATGATCATGATTGAAACTGATTCAGAGTAAACGTGAACCTCCACATCACCTGGAGATCCAGACAGAAGACAATGAAATTAAAGGACAACACTGTTCCTTTAAAGCCGGGCAGGTCTTTATTCACTGTAACAATCATCAAAAAGCAGCATGTGTATACATTAAGTATACCTTTAGTAGCTAGCGTAGCACAGAAGCGGTAAGGCAAGTTAATGATATGCTAACGTACTCATGTTAGCTACACAGGTTTTACGCAGCAACGTAACGTTTTAGAAACCCGTATCTTCTTCCATCCTCTCTGATAATAGTTGTCGGACCCCGGTCGGAGCCGGCCGATGCTACGCTACGCTTCGATTGGCCAGTCTACGTTCAAGAGGGTGGGACATATTGAAGGGTCAATCAGGTCTATGAAACCCAGCGTGTGTGTGTGTGTGTGTGTGTGTGTGTGTGTGTGTGTGTGTGTGTCATGTGAGTCTTACGGGGAGATGGTGATCTTGGTGTCCGTGTCCTGTTCGACTTTTTTCAGGTTGCGTCCTTCCTTCCCGATCAGGCGTCCGACAAAGTTGTTGTGAGCCAGAATCTTCAGAGGAACCTCATCAGCACTGCAAACAGAAAAGCAGCGGTCATGTGGGAGGAACATTTTCATCTCTGTGCCCATCTGTGCGAGATAGAGAGCCTTCACTAAGGGAAACTGGCCTAGGGTTATGTTGTTTTGCTCAGCTGTTTGGTAGAGCACATTGTGAATCACTAAATCAACACCTGATTGAGCCACTAGATGTCGCTGTGTCTTTTATGGCAGGACGTTGAAACATTAAATGGAACCTCACTCCTATCAGTAATCAACATCCATAATAGCATTTCTCACCAGTCAAAAACTTACAGGTAGAAATTCTAAATATCTACAACTTTGATTATACTGGTCAAAAATAAATGTAAGATATCTTTAGATCCCTAAAAAGTATAAGTGACAGCCACTTATATTTGACATTCGATAGCTAGACTGACGATGTGTCATCAAAATCTGTAATTTAAGTCTTCCAGACGAGTTATTAATTCATTTTCTTAAAACATGCTCTACCAAATGGTTTGATTGTATTTTCATGTTAAAGGTAGTAAAGACAACAATATTATTAAAATGCAATATTTGCAAAGAAATTGAAAAACAAATCTAAGCTTTCATTTTTGTTTATATGATGCATTTGCTTTTATACATGAAATCATGGTCAATATAATTTGGCTTTTTTGACAAGAATTTGCAAAAAAAAACCCTCTTTCATATCAAAGTGAAAACAGATTTTTTACAAAATAATGTCAATTAATTAAAAATATATAAGGTAAAGTAAAGATTGCATAAGTATTCACCCCCTTCAGGTCAGTATTTAGTAAATGCACCTTTGGCTGCAATCACAGCACTGAGTGTGTGTGTGGATGTGTCTCACTCAGGCTGGCACATCTGGACACTAAGATGTTTCTCTATTCTTCTTCAGAACAGCTCAAGCTCTGTCAGGTTGCTCAGGGATCGGGCGTGAACAGCTCTTCTCAAGTCCAGCCACAAATTCTCGATTGGATTGAGGTCTGCGCTTTGACTTGGCCACTCCAGAACATTCAACTGGTGGTCTTTGAACCATTCTGTGGAGCTTTTGCTGCATGCTTGGGGTCGTTATCTTGCTGGAGAATAAATCTTCTCCCAAGTCGTAGTTCTCTTGCAGACTGAGTCAGATTATCCTCCAGGATTTGGCGATATCTTTCTGCATTCATGTTCCCCTCTACCTTTACAAGCCTTCCAGGGCCTGCTGCTGAGAAGCATCCCCAGAGCATGATGCTGCCACCACCATGCTTCACGGTGGAGATGGTGTGTTTGTGGTGATGTGCACCAAACATAGCGTCTAGTCCAGGGGTGCCCACACTTTTTCGGCTTGCGAGCTACTTTTAAAATGACCAAGTCAAAATCATCTACCTACATTAAAAATGCTGAATATCTATTTATATATATATATATAATTTTTTGTGAATGGCATGCGATCTACCCGCACTACCTCCGCGATCGACCAGGTCTAGTCTGATTGCCAAAAAGCTAAATTTTTGTCTCATCAGACCAAAGAACCTTCTTCCAATTGACCTTGGAGTCTCCCACATGCCTTTGGGCAGATTCTTTCTACAGTGTCTTTTTCTTTGCCACTCTCCCATACAGCTTCAACTGGTGAAGAACCCGGGCAACAGTTGCTGTATGTACAGTCTCTCCCATCTGAGTCACTGAAGCTTTTAACTCCTTCAGAGTGGTCCTAGGTGTCTTGGTGGCCTCCCTCATCAGTCCTCTTCTTGCCCGGTCACTCAGTTTGTGAGGACGGCCAGCTCTAAGAGATTTAAACAAGTGCCATACTCCTTCCATTTCTTAATGATGGACTGAACTGAACTCTGTGGGATGTCCAGTGAGTTAGAAATCTTTTTGTAGCCATCTCCTGACTTGTACTTTTCAATGATCTTTTCTCTGAGTTGCTTGGAGGGTTATTTTGTCTTCATGTTGCAATTGTAGCAGGAACACTGATGAACCAGAGACTGGAGCTCCCAGACACAGGTGTGTTTATACTACAATCACTTGACACACATCAACTGCACTCAGGTGATCTCCATTTCACTACTTGTGACACTGCTGGATCAACTAGCTGGACTTCTGTTGAATTAGGTCAGTCACTTTAATGGGGGGTGAATATTTATGCAAACACTTATTTTACACTATATATTTTTAATTAATTGACATTATTTTGTAAAAATCTGTTTTCACTTTGACATGAAAGAAGCTTTTTTTGCAAATTCTTGACAAAAAAGCCAAATTATACTGACCATGATTTCATGTATAAAAGCAACAAAAGGGGAAAACATCCCAATAAATTCTTGGGAGTAATGTTCGTACTGGTAACAATACTAATGTCATAGTAACAAACTGACTTATATTGGTATACTAGCATAATACTAGCATAACAATACAGGCTTTATATTGTACTTTCACCATGAAGCTACGGCTCAACAGTTCATTAAATGAAGTTAATTAAAAAGACACTGGGGTCTGTTAAAAAAGTGATTGCCTCAAAGGAAAAGAAAAGTCTTTTTTCCTGAGTGAGGACATGAGAGGACATGAGAGGACATACGTCTTGGTGTCTTTGGCTTCCTGCTGCATGATGTCCATGATCATGCGACAGGCAGAGGAGCAGCCCTCGGGTGTTGAGTGGATGCTGATCGGCTTCTCAGCAGCACCTGCATTCTCCTTGCGGTGCACGTCGATCCTGTGGGAAAGACCAGAACCACTTTGTTAAGTCCCCGGGTCCAGTACCTCCTGAGTTCAGTTAAAGGTGCTTATTAGGGGAAGACACTACAGGTGTAGAGGGAAAACATTTGACCCAATCCATATCACCATGAAGCTTCCCCAGTTGATTATTTACAATAAGACAATTACTTCATACGTTTTTCTGAAATGTTATGTTTAAATACGCTAACTAGGCATTATCTTATTAAATATGTGCTCATTTGCATACATTTTCAGAACAGAAATGTGAACATTGGATAAAGCCAAGTTCAAAATTCTCATTTTAAAGACATGTTTTGTAAAACGATATTTTGAGGACACCACAGGTGAAAAGGGTAAAAAAAAAAATGTAACTAAAAGATATCACCATGAAATTGTCTGGCCAGCCCGAATATGCAAATAAACAAAGTAGTAAAATAAAGACTTAAATGTGTATTTTGATGTTTTCTTTCCACTAGTCTGACAGAAGACGTGGTATGGAAGCTAAATAGCCTCTTGCTATCAGTAAAGAACCATTATTGTAGGTTTTGTCTGTTTTTTCATTGCTCGTGATTTATAGGCGCATTTAGAGTAGAAATACACCTTCAATGTATTTGGTTATTTGGTTCTGAACAGATTTAACTCGATTAGTATTTTGGATGATGGACCGATGGCGCGAGTTTGAGCCATGAACAATCATGGAATTCAGGCTTTGTTTTTCGGTTGACTGAGTAAAGCCATTTATTTCTGTTTGCGTGTTATTTTGATGTTCTGGTAGACAAGGGCAGAAAGGGATACATGGTTTGTCGGTTACAAACGTAGGATAGAAGCGGTTCAGTTTGTTGTTGTTTTTGCGGGATGCAGCCGAGTCACAGACGCACTATTTTCCTCTGTAACAACGCTTCACCGCTGAACACGCGCGGGTCCTCACAGACGGGCTCACTCACTTGCTCTGCGTCTGCTTGGTGATGTTGCGGATGGTGGCGCCCTCCTTGCCGATGATGGCTCCGACGTACTGCGTGGGCACCAGCAGCCGCAGGGGGATGTCGGCGTGCGGCGGCTTTGGGGGCATGCCCGAGTTCGGGGAGCCGCCACGGGGCCCACCCCGGGGCCCGTAGCCACGCCGGCCGTGGTCGGGCCCCCGCTGGCTCCCCTCCTGCTCGGAGTTCTCGTCGGGGATGTAGCAGACGCGCAGGGCGTTGTTTTCAAACTGGTACAAGTTCAGCTTCTGGATGGCTCTGAGAGGGACACAGAACATGAGCATTATGGATTTCTAAGCATAGCTTACAGGTTTGGTAATTATTAGCATCAAGCTAACAGTAGCAGCAATGATAATAACAGAATAAATTTAGAGCCTGCATCGAATAGAACTGAAATGGGGAGGATGAACTGTACTCCACCTAATATCTTGTAAACAAGCTTAGAAATAGTGTTTGATTTAAATTCAAACCAGATTTATTTCTAGTTTAGAGGGTATGATTTAAAGTTCGTTTCATATTTATTCTCATTATTGTCTATGCAAGATATTCCTCATTGCCAGTATTTTTGGTACATTTTGTGCTTAGAACTTTGCAGAACATACAAACTTCACTTTATCTTGCTGTTAATACTTTTGTAGAATGTTAAATGTTACTTGAATGTCATTTCATAGTGTAGTAATACTACACCTACAGAGAGATCGCAATGCTTCTGAAGTATAAAGGTGTAGTTCCTTCAAATGACCACTAGATGTCACAAGTAGAGCGTAGAACATACAACTTGCTGAACATCTCAATTCTGTTTTATTGACTTATACTTAATTAAAATAAATAAATTACAATTTGAGGCATCTTGTTTTTCTTATTTTTAGATTGGAACGTTATTTTTGTGATTAGAACGTTTTAAAAGTGGTTCTTTAGTTAGAGTGTCTGCACAGATCTCGGGTAGGGTCAAACTGGCACCAGAAAAAAGAAAAAAGGCTATGATGTAACATTCATGAATACATTTAAACTGAACCTTTTTTTTTTTTTTTTTTTTTTTTTTTTTTTTTTTTTTTTTTTTTAAATGGCACCAAGTGCATGCAGAATTTAAAAAACCGATGGAAAACCTTTCGAGAGGATGTTGAAGAGGAAGAGAGAAACTTACTGCCTGGCGTGCTCCCTGGATGCATACGTGACGTTAACCACTGCAGTCTCACTGTCTGTGTTCACTGAGAGACAGACAGCATGAGTTAGTTCATTGATGGTTGCTCGGACTTCTTCTAGCTCGGTACATACATTAGGAGTTGTTTCAAAGTAAAAGCACAGAGTGGACTGCTGGAGAAACAAGGTTGCATCCTCACATCAACGCTGAGGCCGATTTCCCCATACTTGCCCTCTGCACAGGTATTGATCCATCAACTCAAATCAGAGCTCTTTCAACCTAAACCTACCTAAACTCAAAGCCTGAATCGTCACATTTTGATTCTGACTTTAAACGCAATTGCGAAAAATAAAGCTTGAAAACACAACCGTTAAAATCAATTAGGAGTGTGACGTTGTATGAAAGAGCAATCATTTCTTGGCCTTCTGATGAAGCAATGTAAGTCCAGTAAATAAAATAAAAATAAAAGCCATTGAACATATTGTTATAGTATTTTTTTTTAGATTGTGTTTTCCTAATATTCTATATTAATTTTTCTTGATTTCAGCAATACTTGCTTATATTTTTAATTGTAATTTCTCTGTCTTTGTGTATTTAATGCACTAATACACCAAAGTAAAGTCCTTGCCGATCTACTTGCCGATGAATCGGATTCTGACTCTGATTCGGATTCTGATTGATTGATTAGTCAATCTACAGAAAAATATTCTGCAAGTATTTTGACCATCAATTAATGGTTTAAGTCATTCTTCAGTTCCAGCTTCTAAATTAGGACCCCTTGTTGCTTTTCTTTGTCTTAACATTTGATGACATCAGCTTGAGCTATAGAAAACAGTGACGGGCCTTTTTCCCTTTACTCTGACATTTAACGCACCAAACGATTCATTCAGCGAATTAATCGATGACTAAAATAAACAGTTGTTTTTCTCTTCCAAGTTCATCTTGGCTCATTTAGGGGAAATCAGGTCGACATATGTGCTAATGTTTTAATAAACTAATTTTTAAAAATATGTTTTTTTTCAAGTAGATCTTCCATTTTGGAGTAGCAGGTGTTTAGTGTTATTATTAGTGCTGGGCAAGTTAACGCGTTTTTTTTTATTATAATTAAGCGGACATTTTTAACACAAGAACCAGCCGGCAGCGAGCGGCGAACAGCTGTTTGTGTGGCGTCTCTTCCGTCTCCTTCACCTACATTCCCCTGGGTCCTAAGTCCCTCCATGTACAGCTTCTTATCACGCTCTATGTACCAACGTACATTTATAACAAATACCACACATATTACGGTAATCAGCGTTGCATATGTGTCTGACCAAAATACCAAAAAAATAAATGATTCATTTATATTATTTTTTAAGAGTTTTTAAAGTATTTTTGTTTGGAATATGTATAATAAGCATATCATTTAGTTATCGCTACTGAGAATTTAACAAACATAAAAAAAAGAAGAAAAAAACATGACATGATGAGGTTTGCAGTTTTCAAGGTGTATATTTCAAATTGCATCTCTTACACACATGAAGATAAAGTTGTGAACACGGGCTGAATATCTATTATCAGAATCATTATAACTGTATTATAACTGCTACTGTGTAAAGGGAATACTGCTGTTAAAAATAACCTTCATTGTTTACAGTGTTTGCAAACCAAATTGTATTGCACGTTTCTTCATATAGCAGTACTTTTAAAATACAAGTGCGCAATACACTACTTTTGAATTCATTATTGAATGTTGCGCATAACAATGCGATTAATCGCAAAAAAATCATGCGATTAATTGCAATTAAAAATTGTAATCGTTGCCCAGCACTAGTTATTATATTTACACGCTGTAGACCAGTTGAGACGGAGAAACAGCTGAGTCAGGAGTAAACGCAGGCTGTGACATGGACAGAGTCCCTCTTCACTGGGACACAAAACCACTTGGTGGGAGCAAAGCAGCGCATATAGAACCACGACGTGACGCGAGTGGGAACTCTTTATTAAAAGGTCTTTCCTTGCTTGTGCGGGTCTAAACGGGCCACGTGTGTGTGTCAGCCATCTGAGGCGTTCACAGACCCGAGTAAAGCTCAGTAGTCTCACCTTGTTCACAGTTCTCTACGGTTCCACACTGAGCCAACAGACCGTCCAGCACCTGGAACACAGAGAGAGAGAAGAAGAAGAACAGAGATTATACCAGGAGTGTCAGAACACACCTGAGCCCAAAGGACACATAAAGGTGGAACCACAGTTTAGTTCATCGTCTGATGTGAAAGGAGCACCTGCAACACACGAGGTCCAGTTTGATCTGTTGATCTTGATGTTATTATTTCTGAAGGACTACCGACTGAATCAACTTCTGTATCGTCAGAGAAACATTTGTGCTTATTTACTCTAAAAACATTATTCGTTATTCAATTAATGTCATCTGAAAAAAGAAACAAACTGATTATTATTATTGTTCGTTAATTTGCCGATTATGAAACATTACAATCAATACTTTTCATTTGATACAAGTTGCAGATATTATCCTAAATTCAATCCACATTAGTGCTCAACAGCATATTTACCAGCCTTTGATGTAGTGTTCAGTCATTCGTTGTATTTCTATGTAACCCTCATTCATTCAAACCAGTTCATTTGTCTTTCAATGCAAAAGCAGAGACCTTGGTCTCAGTGTGGGCCCCTGTCAAAATAAAAGGTTGACGTTTTCCAGTGTGTACATCTGCCCAATACTTTGAACTAGGACCCATGGCAAACAACTCCAGAAATAGTTTCATCTATTCACACTGCACAGGATATTTTGACACGATCCCAATACATTTCGTATTTTTGAAAAGCACCGATTAAAACACAAAACAAGGATTTGAAGTCATTAGGGACAAAGTGATTGATTGAAAAAGTCATAAGAAATTCCAATGATAGAATGAAGCACATGTAATATCTGGGAAGGTTGTTCGTCGTCGTCACGGTGATGGGACAGTGGAACTAACCTGCGTCTGTTATTTAGTGATACGTACATGTGATTATTATTTACATAATTTACATAGTAATCATTTTCATTGTGTGGAATCCTAAATGTCTCCAGCAACAGACTAACCTTTTATTTTTTATGTTTTTTTGTGTTTTAAAATTTGATTCTCAATCAGATTTCAACCTTTGCCTGCGCTACTTAAATCGGCCATGCTTTTATTTTGAAGTAAAAATGTTTCCAGTGTCCCTCCTTTCTGCTGTGAGAAAAAAAAGCTTAAATTCTTTGTATTTATGAAGGAACAAAAAAAAGCTATAAAAATAATGACTGTATGCGATATCTTGAAAGAACATCGTACGCTCGCGTGTTAGTTTCTACTTTATTTTACGTTGCATTTGTGTCGTCTTTGGTACTGCTCTTCTGTGTAGATTTTCTTTGGGGGAGTTTGCAATGCATCATCTAATGCTTACTTTTGATACAATGTTTGCTGACAATTTGAAATAAAGTTTTTAAAAAAGTATATATATATATATATATATATATATATATATATA